ATGGACAGGTGGAGAGATTCAACCGAACTCTGCTCTCCATGTTGCGCACCCTGGATGAAGAGGAAAAAAAGGATTGGAAGGAGTCCCTGGCTAAGGTCGTCCACGCGTACAATTGCACAAAGAATGAGAGTACAGGATACACACCCTATTACCTCATCTTTGGACGCTCTCCGCGCCTCCCAATCGACCTGTTATTCAACATTGAGAGAGACAATGCCCATGGGAGTTATGAGGATTATGTCCATAATTGGAAGGAGACCATGCAGGATGCCTACCGTATTGCTGCCAGCAATGCAGATAAAGGAGCAGCTCGGGGGAAAGCCAACTACGATAAGAAAGTGCTTGGTAGGGACCTCCAACCAGGTGATCGGGTCCTCATCCGGAACCTCACTCCGAGGGGTGGAACAAGGAAAATTCAGGCCTACTGGGAGGACCAAATCTTCAGGGTAAAGGAAAGGAAGGGGGATGATAGCCCAGTGTACCAGATCAGTCCCGAGAATGGCAATGGGAGAGACAGGGTGGTACATAGAAACCTGTTGCTGCCATGTGACCATCTGCCCCTTGAGCTGCCATCTACACAGCCTTCAACCCAGCCGACCAACACCCAGAGACCTACAAAGAAGAAGAGGACACCACACCGCGACCAGGAGTTAAAGTCAGCGTCAGACGGTGGTTCAGGGGATGAGGACAACGACGGCGCCTACCACTGGTATCTCCGGTCAAGAAAGGGGAGGAAACAGAGCCAAGAGTTGTTGAATCCTGAGGCTGAACCTTTCCAGCCTCAACAGAGTTCCTCACCTGATGAAGAGGATTTGCCACGACAATCAGAAGAGGATTTGCCACTACAGACTAAAGAGGATTTGCCACTACAGACTGAAGAGGATTTGCCACTACAGAATGACCATGTTGCTGATGTGTTGCTACTGACTGAGCAACCAGACCTGTATCCTGCATCTGGAGTACAGGAGAGTGGTGAGTCAAGAGAGGGTTCACCTCAAAAGGTACGCACACACCCACACAGAGTCAGGCAGCCACCTGTAGTATTGAGCTATGAGACATTGGGACAGCCATCATTCGTGTCAAGACACTGTGAAGTGATAGAGACTCAGCATATTGAGCAGAGACAATTGTGGCGGCCTTGGTAAAACTTTGGTTGTAATGTCGGGAGACATTCAAACTTGTGGGGGAGAGTGTGGCATAAGGTGTTTGCAGAGACAATTTGGTGCTAATGGACAGTTTATTGCAAGGACAATTTACAGCGTACCCCCAATTATATATTTTTATTTTATTATATTTTTTTTTTCTTCTGACAGGCTGAAGACCACTTAAACTGGACCTTAGCTTTTAATAGGTCGGGTAATGGAGCAACTACAGTAGAAAAATGCTGACAGAAGTTTCTATAGTAACCCACCATACCCAAAAACCTCATCAGCTCCTTCTTTGAGGTAGGAGGAGGGAAGCTATCAATGGCTTGGACTTTAGCTCTTACTGGTTTTACTTGTCATTGCTCAACAACTTTTCCCAAATAAATCACTGTAGCTCTTGCAAACTCACATTTTGCTAAGTTCACAGTTAAATGAGCATCCTGAAGACGCTGAAACAATTTCCGAATGCGTTGTTCAGGGTTCAGCCCAAATGTCACTGTAGACCACGACATCATCCAAGTACACAGCACAACCTTCCAACCCAGCCACTACTTGATTCATCAACCGCTGGAAAGTGGCAGGTGCATTCCCAAGACCAAAACTCATTACAGTGTAAGAGTATAATCCAGATGGTACAATAAAGGAAGAAACCTCTTGGGCTCGCGCAGACAAAGGTACTTGATAGTAACCTTTGAGCAAATCAAATTTACTCATATACTTCGCTGTTCCAACACGATCAACGCAATCTTCCATCCGAGGAAGTGGGTAGGAGTCAGGTTTTGTAATGCTGTTCAATTTCCTGTAATCAGTACAGAATCTATAAGTAGCGTCAGGTTTTTTAACCAACAAACATAGTGAGGCCCAACTGGAACAAGATGGTTTAGCCAGGCCGATGTCCAGCAAATATTGAATTTCTGTCTCCAAAAACTTGCTTTTCTCTGGATGAACACGATAAAAATGTTGACGGATGGGCTGCGCATCTTTCACATTAATATCATGCTCGATTAGATTAGTACATGTTGGAATGTCACTAAACAAAACATGAAAATCCAAAATTGACTGCTTCAAGTGCTCACTTCTTTCCGTAGACAAATGACTCAATAATGTTTGTAAGTTAGACAATATCTCAGAGTTCTTAAGTCTTGGTTGAAACACTGCATCATCTGGAGTTTGCACATCCTCATCTAATCCTGCTGTGCAGCTCAAGTCTACTTCTACAGAACCAGCAATTGCCTTCACATCTTTTTCCTCCAGAGTATGACCAAAATAAGGCTTTAGTAAGTTTACATGGCACAGTTGAGTTGGTCGCTTACGGTCTGGGGTAGAAACCATGTAGTCTTGTTCAGACACCTGTCTCAACACAAAATATGGACCGTAAAACTTTGCCTGAAATGGTGAACCCTGAATGGGAAGTAAGGCAAGCACCTTGTCTCCTGGGTGAAACACTCTTATTTCTGGTCAAACCATCTTTTCATTTTTCTCTGAGCCTTTTTAAGATTCTCAGAGGCTTGTTTGCCAGCCAAGAAAAGTCTGCGACGAAATTTATTAATGTAGTCAAACAAGTTTAATGGTGGATCAGAACTCTCCAAGTTCGATTTTAGAATAGCGAGAGGACCACGCACCTGATTTCCAAACACAAGTTCATTCGGACTGAACCCTGTACTTTCTTGCGTAACTTCACGAGCTGCCAGAAAAGCCAAGGCAGACCTTCTTCCCAGTCTCTACTCAACTCTGTGCAGTATACTCGCAACAATACCTTCAGGGTTTGGTGAAAACGCTCTAGCGCCCCCTTGCTTTGAGCATGATAAGCACTGCTTTGTTGATGAACTACACCAAGTTGTTTCAAAATCTCAGCAAACATACGTGAAGTGAAGTTGGTTCCTCTGTCTGTCTGAATGGTCTTCGGAATTCCGAACACTGAAATGAAATTCGACAAAGCTTTGACCACCGACTTTGTCGTAATGGTTTTCAGAGCATAGGCTGCAGGATAACGAGTGCTTCTACACATAACTGTCAGCAAATACACAGATCCTGACTTTGAAGGAATCAGTGGGCCAACACAGTCAACGATCAAGTGTTCAAAAGGTTTACCAGAAGCCGGTATGGGAAAAAGTGGAGCAGGTTTCAAGGTCTGATTAGGTTCCCCAGTTAACTGGCAAGTGTGACAAGTTTTCACAAAATAAGCGACATCTTTTTTTGAGACGTGGCCAATAAAAATGTCGTAAAACTCGATTATAAGTTTTATTGACTCCTAAATGTCCAGACAATTGTCCATAAGCAGTTTTCAAAACAATGTTTCTGAACCTGACTGGAACAACCACTTGATAAACTGGACCAACAATTTCCCTGTCACTATAAGGCAACCATTTACGTACCAACAGATCTTTTTGTAGAAAATATCCACTTGACACTTTTGTGTCCTGTTCAGCTGCCTGGACTTGGTCAAACAGAGCAGCTAAGGTTGGGTCCTCCTGCTGGGCTGCAATCAACTCACTGAGTGACAAAAGAACAGGAAGATTTGGCAAACAGGCAGTCTTCTCAAGAAAAAACCACGCTTACCAAACTCGACCTCCTTATCAGCCAAAGAACGAGTGATGGCACAAGTTACTGTACAAGCTGGAAAAGCCTCAGGAAAGTCTCGAGCACATACGTCTGACACAGAAACGGATGGACAAGCTCGGACCACTGGAGGGGGTGCAACATCTCGCCACACACGTCCACCTGCCAGATTGTTTCCTAGAATGAGAGATACACCTTCCACAGGCAAAGAAGGACGAACAGCTATAGTTACCTCTCCTTGTACAAGTTCTGACTTCAAGTAGATCTTATGAAGAGGCACAGAGAAAGTCTCCAACCCAATACCTCTAATTAAGACACTACAACCAGTATCAGATAAAAAAGAAAATGGCAAAACAGATTCCAATATGAAAGATTCAGATGCTCCGGTGTCACGTAGAATCTTCACAACCACTTTATTTGAACTGCCACTCAAAGAAACAAACTCATTTGTGATGAAAGGTGCATAGTCTTGACCGACATTCTTCTCACAAATATGGGGATCTGTATCAGTCAGTTCTGAAAAAAACTTATAGTCAACAAGTGCACCTAAAATAGTTGGTCTTACACTTTCAACTTTAGCTGGATGTGTAGACTCCACTAAATGCAACTTTGAAACGCTGGCTAAAGCAACAGGTTTTTGATTATCTCGTTTTTCCAGTGTCCCTTCTGGCGACAATAGTTACAAACAGAGTCTGCTTTAGATTTCAATGTAGGTTCCACTCCAGTCTTACCAGAGAACCAGTCATGATGAGATTCCTTAAAGCTATCAGAACATACTCATCTGCCAAGACAGCAGCTTTAGCAGCAGTTTTTACCTTTTGTTCGTTAACATATGTGGCAACCCAATCTGGAATAATGGTCTTGAACTGTTCCAACACCATCAAATCACAAAGGGATTCAAACTCCTTCACACCTTCAGCTGATAACCAACGATAAAACTGGGTGTTTAGTTGTCTGACTAGATCTGTATTTGTCTGTTTTTCAGCCTTCCTGCATTTCCTAAATTGTTGCCTGTAATGTTCAGGAACCAGTTCATAAGCCTTCAAAACAGCTTCTTTAACAGATTTGTATACCTTTCTTTCAGCTGACGTTAATGAAACATAAGCTTCTTGGGCCTTACCCACCAGCACACTTTGCAGCAGAATGGAACAATCGAGATCACCCCACTCATTGTCCTCTGCCATGTCCTCAAACAAAGAGAAAAACACATCAGGATCTTGTTCATTAAACTTGGGTACCAGCTTCAACATGTTAACCAAGTTATGTCCAGGAAACCCATCACCACCTTGAGACAGATTAAAAGATCCGAGAACTTCCGGCTGAATGGCGGTGGAGTAAGTTGTGTCTTGGCGTGCTCCTGCGGGGTTAGCTGTTTTTTGTTCATTATTACCTGGCACTTTTTCTCGACTTCGACTTCAAGCGATACGTAACCTATACAGTGAACACCATCTTTCTTTTTTGGATACTAGAATGCCACCAAAGCCTGTTAAAGGAGGAAATTCGATTCAGTCCCACCTGCGGCTGGGTCCTCGTGGTGAGTCCTCGACCTGTGCTGAATCGTCTCCTGGGCCGGGGGCAGCGGCCCATGCCGCTGCTATTAGTGATACCAGCAGTCTTAAACAGGAACTGCTTGCGGCTCTCCGGGAGGACTTTACCGCTATACTTAAAGCATAGTTTCATGCTGTTCTTGGTGAAAGTCTTTCTTCGATTAAATCCGAGCTGCTATCCTTCAAGAAGGAACTGTCCTCTGGCCTCACTGCGGTGCAGGAGAGTTTTACTGGGCTAAACGTAACGGTTGCTGAGATGGAGAAATCCCTATCCACCTGCACTGATGAAATCGTTAGCCTCCGGAAGACAGTAGACAGCCTTACTAAAACTGTGGCACAGTTGGAGGATAAATGTGATGACTTGGAGTCCCGGTCCCGGCGTCAGAACATCCGCATCATTGGAGTCCCGGAGGATGACCCTTTATCGGCCTCGACGGCTGCGGTCTCTCGGTTGCTGAAGGAAGCCTTCGGTTTCGCGGAGGAACCGTTGGTAGACCGCGCTCACCGTATCCCAATCCCCAAACCCAAGGCAGGTGAACGCCCTTGCCCCATCGTAGCTAAGCTACATTACTACACTGACTGTGTGAAAATCCTGTCGAAGGCAAGGGAGCTGCACCGGATCAAGATGAACGGTATGACTATCTTCGTTTTCCCTGATTATACTGTCAGGACGGCCCGAGCACGAGCAGCCTTTACAGACTGCCGTCGCCGGCTCCGTGGCATTTAGGGGGTCCGGTTCGGCTTGCTTCATCCGGCCCGGTTGCGGATTACCCATCGTGGAACTACGCAAGTTTTCACCTCTCCGGAGGAGACCAATATCTACATCGGGTCTATTACCAAATAAGAACTATAATTACAAAGATTAGTTTCACATTCTGGGGACTTTGTTTGGTCTGGTTAAGTAATATTTTC